TACTTGTTCTTAACTTTATAGCAGGACAACGTTTATGCCGAACCTAAGAACATTTCTCATTATTAGTTTTGAACGCAAGGCTAATACCTAGCAACAACGCACTGGGGTGCCGAAAGTTGCGTTTCTTGACTTCTAAAACGGGACAAACCCTTTCCCATAGAATCCTACGTGCAACATGTCGACACCTAAGTTGCGGTCAGATTTCCACACCTGAAAGCCTCTTAATTTTTTAAATTGAAACGGGTGTGGAAATCTGACCGTGCTGTACCTGCCAGGCGAAATGGACGTGTCAATCCGATCCGCTGTAGACCGCAAGTGTGGTTTTGGAACCGAGTAAGAAGCGTAAACTTTAGGGTTCTTGAAATATACATATGTTTTTCCTTTTTTAGTTTTGACAATGTGTTCTGAACTATCCGATTCCATTCCCTTTCACATTGTTGCAAGGCAACGTTTCTAACGTTTTGCCACCAAACATGACTTCAGAAGCAAGCCTGACCAAAACAAATTACAAGGACCCTTTGTCACAATGAAGGCCTACCCTGCATATGTGAAAAAGTGGTCCACTTTACTTTTTTCACCCTTTGTGACTATGTCGCAATGGTGGATGGGCCCTGCAGATTGCTACGCAACAGCCGCAAACCACACACCACACTGGTTTTTACCTTTGTGACTGTTCCGCAATGGTGGGTGGAAAGGTCCAGCCTGCATAGATGTGTAAATACGTGAATCAATGCGCCACTCACCCTAGCCACGGCCAGGAGACATGCGCCGCTATGCGCCCCATGCCACAGTATTGCGGAACACTATGCAAGATCCTGCCCAACAATAAGTCAGAAAATACGAACAAATACTGAGTTATTCCTAGTAGTCTATCAAGCCAGCCCGGCGCCGCACTTTTGGCACTACTTCGAGTTGTTGCCCTTAAAGGGCTCTTCCATCAAACTGCGGCCATTGCGGTGCAAACCGACTGGACATCACATGAAGCACCCGTTTCACACTGCCAAGGAAAGAAACTGAAACACCAACTGCAAGTCTATATTGTCGTAGGCTGGGCAGAAAAGGGGTGTGGTTGGAAGCGCATAGGCTTTAAGATTTTGCACATACTATCAAGAATCGAGCGCCCCAAGGGACTGCCTGAGGAGCAGCGTTTTTGGGTGTACAGTAGTCACTTATTCAAATCCCACGGGAAGAGGCAACAATGCCCCATGATCCAAGGTACTTTGGTGCGGGATACTATGTTTTTGGTGGGTTGGTCTTCAGCTTACCCTTCTTCGTGGTTGGACTGGCCTTAGGGCGCGATCTATTCCCAAGACAGACGCAAGACGATACTTCCTCGAGCCGGCTGGTGTATGAAAAATACTTGGGCATGCAGGCAGGACATTACTACGTTCTGAAAGTTACCATATTGCAATTTGCCACTGTGGGCCTGCAAGCAGTGGGTAAACTTGAGGCCTTTGGCGCTGCAGTTATTGAAAGCCGAACCAATTCAGCTAATTCAGCCCTCCTTGAACTTGGTTACCTTTCGTTGGATGTTTACACGGACTGCTACTGGATATTTGTCAGCCTGCTAATGGTTAATTGCATTTATCCAAGCATCCTCCTGTGCTTTCCGAGCGCCAGATGGGCGCGCGTTGGTGCAGGTTTCATGGACATTCTTTTGGATTTGGGTTACCTGGGCACCTTCATATTCCTCTTCTTCCCAATTCCAAGTGGTTCTCGCCTTCAATTTCCCATGGAGTTTTTGGGGTACATGGCCAGCTACACCAACATCGTTCGCATGTTTGGAGTCTGCCGTTCGCTGGAGGCTACTAGTGAGGCTACTAAGACACCGGCGCGAGCGTCGGAACTTCAAGCAAAGCAGCGAATACTGAAACGATTCGCCCCGTGGCATTTGACATTAAGCTCGCTGTTGGTGCTGGCGGTCGTTCTGAGCAACGAGGATGTTTACCCAATGTGGATTCCGAGTGCAGGGGAGAGATGCCTGCCATGCCGCTGCATCACACGACCGGAAGTGCATTTGAAAAGTTGCAACTTCCTCCGGTTGACTGATGAAACGGATCTCACCTTTGAATCCAGGCAAATCAAGAGCATCGCTCCGGAGGCGCTGAGTCGGCTCACATCCTTGCAGTCCATCTCTTTCAAAAACAACGAGCTCACTTCGCTTCCTTCAGGTCTGCTTAATGGGCTCACGTCGTTGGGTTACATCGAATTGAACAACAACCAGCTCATTTCGCTCCCTTCAGATCTCTTTGATGGGTGCACGTCGTTGCGTTACATCAGTTTGAACAACAACCAGCTCACGTCGCTTCCTTCGGACCTCTTTCATGGGCTCACGTCGCTGGAGGGCATCAGTTTGAACAACAACCAGCTCACTTCGCTTCCTTCAGATCTCTTTCATGGGCTCACGTCGTTGAGGGACATCTACTTGAACCACAACCAGCTCACTTCGCTTCCTTCAGATCTCTTTCATGAGCTCACATCGTTGAATCAGATTGATTTGAGCTACAACCAACTCGTTTCGGTGGCGCAGGAGCTTTGCGAAGTCCGGAAGTTCGTGAATCTGAGCTACAACCATATATCTTCGCTTCCGGAAGTCTGTGATGGTTTGCCCCATGTTCTTTGGGAGCCGAACAACGGAGAGGTTGAGTCTCCCTGATGTTCGATATGCTGCCATGCTGCTCCGTTGCGACCTGCCATCATTCATGTGACTATAGTGGGTTTTGGGGTGGATGGGATGAATCAACAATTTTGGATACGTGAATTGAACTCTCAGGAATTTTTCAGCTCAAGATCGCTTCCAAAACCCGATTCATTGCTGCAATGTCCAGATTCGCTTCCCGGTCCAGATTCCAGTGCAAACCTGAGGCCAAAACGTCACAGGTTGGACCGCACGGGGTGTCGGCACCGATTTACACGACGCCGCGATGGTTTGACACGACCCTCGTTGGTGAGTTGGTGACTCGTCCAGCCGAGTGGTGGGCCGCAAGCTCTGCATCCAGCATGTTTGACACCCCAAACGGGGCACACCTTCGGAGCTTCCCACAGCACCAAGAGCCTGTTCAACGCGGGCTGGGCCAAGGCAGGTATGCTTGGAAACGAGAGGCTTTCTCAGAATACGTCGCAAAATGGGAGTTTGCAATGTGAAGTTCGTTTGTTGCCTGTCGGCACTGCAATTTGGACACATCACTGAAGCCGAAGCTGCGATCGATCTGACAGTGAGCTGCCGTTCGCTGCCATGTCACACAAAAGGATGAACGAGGACGAACGTCACTTGTTTGGAACCAACTTCCCCATCCGGCCGCCTTGAACCCCAAGCCTTCCAAGCCGGGAAAAGCTGCGCCAGCTGCGTGTTCAGCAGAGGCCATGCCGTAAGCCCTGAGAAGCTGATGAAATCATATGAGCCATGCCGTAAACCGCGCTTTACATGTTGGTTAAGAGCTTGGTCAAGGAGCACGGCTCATATGAAATCACTATCTTCTCCTTAAGCTTGCTTTACTTGACCAGTGATTCGGGCCTCCAGGTGAAAATTCTTCATCGTGAGGGGGTGTTTGCCAGGATCGACCTCCCCTTGATCCTCGTACGCTTTGTCTCTTGCCTTTTGACCAGCTGGCATTGTCGGTGCGTTCAGATCATTTGCACTTTGCTGAACTCGTCTTTTGCTGCTGCCGCTGCTGCGTTTTAAGAAACCAATTATATATATGATCAGTGCTCAGAACCCCCAGGAATTTGGAGGACTGTTTGGGAGACCGCCACGGATCTGTATTCAACGACCACGGTTCTGTATTCACGGCGCTGCGGGGCATGGCTTCTTCGCGCGCGCGCGCGAGGCATCGAGTCATTTGGGGATCTGCGTTATGTTGTTTTCTTTGGGTGTGATGTCCCTCTTGTTATCAGAGTGGGACAGGCACGGTTACAGAGGTGTAGTGACTAGCTGTATAGAACTGTAATTATAATACTGTATATAATTGCAGTGTCTATGGGTGCTAGCAGAAAACTGTTGGATCACTTCGACAGATGGACACGCAGTCCAAACATCTCTAATTTCTGGTTTGGATGCAGGAGACATGTCCTTCCATCTCGGATTCATTTCGACACCAGACCTGGCAGTGAACAGTCAGGTGTGCCCGGCTCACTGTCTGGCACCTTTGGCCCCCTGGCGTTGACTCCCGATCCTCGTCCCCTGCGCAGGTGCGCCGCGTCCGGCATCGCCGCTCGGCGCTCACGGGGGTGTTCGGTGGTTCATGGCCCACACTGCGCAGGCGGGGGGTGGAAGAGCAACTGGAGGTCCGGGGTTTGCGTCCTTTTCTATGGCGGTGGTTTCGACATTCCTGTATTTTGAACCTTCACTTGCGATGATTGAACCCACTAGCAACTATGTTTCAAATGAGTTGAAATGACCAACCGGTTTTGTTTGAGCGCTGATGGTACGGGAAGCTGTCACAGCCACTCTTACATGTCTCTAAATTGCGAGTGCTTGCACGTCTTCACGGAATATCGGCAGGTTCCTAGCCCTCCCCAAATCACCTTTTTCTAGGGATTGTTGGAGCAGGCGTGAGTATAGGCAGCTGATGGGGTTTCACCCGAAATTGCCCGTTCCGAGAAGTGTAAACCTCGACTACGATTCAATCTACTGTACTAATGAAAGGTTTTAACACATTGACATATGCTTGCCTGACTCTGTATCTACTTTGATCCATTATGTGTTGGTTATTTCACCCCTCCATTTCGACAAACAAACAACAACTCCGCGCGGCGAAAATCGCGGAGTTCGGGTTCGGTCCAAACCTCTTCACCCGTGGCACCGGACGTCCGGACTCGGACCGGGGACCGCGGTCGTTTCGACGCGAGTGTCGCTGACCTGGGATGAAGGGCGGAGACTGCGGAGACTGTGAAGGACGATCAAAACATGTGGCAGCTTGCTTCTATCATGAATGGAGTTTCTAGATGCAAGCTGAGGCAATGAAGATATGAATATCAGCAATTATATAGTAGTTGTTTGGGCAAACTTGACTTTGCCCAATGAGAAAAACATTGAAATATGAAATACTCGGCCCGGCGATTAGCATTTTTCAAGTCCCACATCCTCCTTTGCCAGCTCAAGGCTCTATGCAACTGAACATGTTTCGTGGTTTCACAGTTTTAAGTCTGCTGGCACTATGCTGGGCAGATGAATGTGATGAGACGCTGCTCTTGCAACATCGCCACATCGAACGGCAGCATGAGCAGCTTTTCGCCTCCATCGTGGAAGCTTATGAGAGCAAGAAGGGCTTGATCATCTCTGGCACAGTCACTCCACAAGACATCCGTCCAGATCACTCAGGTTCGGTTCTAAGGTCGGACTTTCCGCCCATGCTTGCCACATATGTGGGCTTGATCTTCGACCCCCGGAAGCGTCCAAAGGTGCGATGCGCCTTTGTGGTGGATGGAGGTACAGATAATCGGATGTCTCACTCCGGAAGTTTGTGCGGATGGGCTTTCCCACAATTCCAAAACATGAGTACGACCTGCGACTTTCCTCCAGAGGAGTATGCGCAGAGGTATCATCTCAAGCCAATGGCTGAGGTGAAGCAATGGGGGGCAACAGAAGTTTTGGTCTGGGCATTGACTCAATCCTCCTGCAATTTCCACTCCATCGATGACATGCTTTTAGCCGAGGAGCTGTTCTGGAGGATGGCCGGCGACATCTCCGAGTCTGACTGGGACAAGTGGGGTCAAGCTCGTTTGGGTACATGGTCTGGCCCGACCGGCTTCAATGAGGTGGTTTTCACCGAAGATGTGTCCACTGATTTGAAGGATTGGGTTGCCATATATTGGGGGCACACCGGAGATTTCATCAAGGACTGGAGCCAGACAGATGAGATGTTACGGAAGGGACCCTGTTGCATCACAATGAATCAGGGAGGCAAATGGTGTGACTCAGATACGCCACTTGTGATTGAGATTGCCAACATGGACTTTGTTGGATTTTCTGCCCAATACGATTATGCGGGATTGTCAGCCTATGCCTCCAGAGCATTTGTTGGAAACGGCTACAGCGGCTCGGGGCAGTTCCGCGTTTTGCCCAAAAGCGCTTTGTGTTCCTTGGACTGCTCGTCCTGGACTGCAGCCACATGTGACGGGTGGGACCGCAGGATGTCAGGCGGCGTGTGAGGGCGGCCACGTGGTGAAAAGGCGTGAAGGAGTGAGGCTCCCGAAAACCAGGGAGCTTGGTGTATGACTGGAACGAGAAATGCCCAGTTCCCCTGACTTCCAGTCATCCCGTCCTGTCTGACCCTTAGACAAACACTGAATAACGAGACAGATGCCAGCAGCAAGGCGATGTGTCTTGGGAGCAATAGAATGGAAGAGGAGCTGTGGACCCCATGATTTGAGTGGAATCAAATTATTAAAACATTAGGGGCCATCAATCTTGAACTCCCACATCCCATCAGGCGTCGTTTTCTCGTCTTCTTTCTGTTGCGCTCCCCACGTCCACAGCCCCGGACGTATCGCACAGGCGTGGGCGGCGCCTTCCGGGGCATGGCTTCTTCGCGCGCGCGAGGCATCGAGTCAATTTGGGGATCTGCGTTATGTTGTCTTCTTTGGGTGTGATGTCCCTCTTGTCATCAGAGTGGGACAGGCACGGTTACAGAGGTATAATTTAATTACTGTAGAATACTGTCACGTCTATGGGTGTTAGCAGAAAACTGTTGGATCACTTCGACAGATGGAAACGCAGGCAAAACATCTCAAACCACCGCGCCTGGTCCTCGCCTGGTCCAGAGTGCGCGCGTGACCAGTGCGACACCCCCTGCAAAAGTAGGAATCTGTTTGGCCACGCTCGAATGAAACTCCGCAGCTCAAAGACCAGGTCAATGCTTGCCCAACACTCGTCTGAGCTGCCCTAATCTTGTTATTTTATATGTCCATCTCCGACACCAAACTGGCAGCGAACATCCAGATAGCTCACTGGTTCACCACCCTCCTTTGGTCGTTCGCTCGCGCTGCACTGATCTTCGTCCCACCTTGGTCCTTACCCGCAGGTGAAACCGGCCGCTCGTCCGGCATCTGAAGCCAGCTGTGGAAAGGCCAAGACGGTGGGCAACTCTTGGGGTGGGCGCCGGAGGTGGTTTCAAAGTCTTGTATGTTCAACCCCTTCACTTCTGATCATGAAACTGAGTGACAACAGCACGATGTTTTTTCAAGCGAGAGTTGAAAGCATCAACCAGTTTTCTGAGTGCTGATGGTACAGGAAGGATGTCATAGCCGCTCCTACTATTTACATGGTCTCTCAATAGTGAGATTGACTTGAAGCCGCGCGCGGTTTCCCCGCGCGGCTGAAGCCGGGGAATCAGGCAGGTTTCTTGCCCCAAATCATTTTTCCAGTAGATTGTTGGAATAGGCACGAGTGGTCCGCTGGTTGGGTTTCAGCCCAGGCCTGTGCGCCAAGAAGTTTAAACGATTAAATCTACGAGCAACATGTTCACACACATCTGCTTTGCAAAACGCTGTCTACTTGATGTACTTTGTCTACTTTGCGAAACTTTGACGCACACACTTAAGATGTTGCGTACTGATTGGGTTGCGGTTTGCCACACGCCGGCGGTGACGTATAGAATTGGTCCCTCAAGTACGTAGCGGTCCCTCAACGCCGAGGAAGGGTGTCGCACGCGACGTCGCCGGACTTCGCCGGAGGCCGAGCGTGCTGAACGGCTGCCGCACGGCGCAAGACGTGTTCGATCCCTTCTTCGTCGCGGGGGGGGGGTAGGGCGGCAACCAAATGATAGGAATCGATGTGAACGTGTGTAGAGAGAGACGGATTGAACAATCTTGCACTCGATTTGCAAATTGAGGTTTCATTGATTCTCTGGGTTAGTTGTTTTACTTTACACCTAGGGGATCCTAATTAATTAGTAGTACGTCATTTTTGGGTTGTTTTCCAGATGTTGTTAGGGTTTTGCGATCATCAGTTGTTCTTCCGATCTTCCATATACAACTGAATTGATCTTGACTTTTCCTAGGCAGATGAATCACCGGCGCCTCCAGGGCATCATGCAGGCATTGCCATGCTGGGTGAACCGTGGAATGATCCGATCAAGTACTCCACAGTTCCCCCTCGCATCAGTCTAGAGGGATGGAAAGCTGTTGAACTGCAAACTGCCAAACAGTTATTGGTAGGCAGTTGGGCCCTTGCCTCGCTCAGAGTATATTTTTTGTCTATATGTTCAATGTCGTTCGTACGTACTGTTTGTGTAAAGACAGATCACACAGTGTAACAAGAGAAGCGACAATCAAGTACTACAGGTTAGAAGGTTTGCGATCGGGTCTCCATTCAGATCTATACTAAGAACCTCTTCATAAATGACCCGCCTAGACGTCCCAACTTCCGCTCCTCCATGAACATCCCATCCAGCCGCGCATGATGCCAGCTGTTCTCCAGTGTTGATCCACACCCTTGCAGAACCATACCTGGCAGGTATGCGAAGGAACCATCAAACCCACCAAAGTCACCAGGAAGTTCCCCCCAGTGACGATGCGCCACAAACACCCAAAGACACTGACGATGCGCCGGAGGTGTTGGTCAAGAGAGAAGACCTTCCTCCCTTCGGAAGGCGGAAAGAATGGGAAGAACTACAACCCTTTTCTCAGAACACACGGTGACCAGGCCACCAAAGTAAGCAGAAAAATCAGCAAAAGGATGCAAAAGGGAACACGGTGACCAGCCCGGAATACCAAACAACCGATCCTGTGGATCGAAAGACATGTGTCCGGTCTTGAAAAGGCGGATGTTTTTTCTGCTGTGTTCTGGCTCAGTGAGAGAAAGCCTCCAACCAATCGGAAGTTGGAAAGAGCCGACATTCTAAGATGTCTATCGTGTTCGGCCGTTCCTGTCTATTGTCATCAAGTCATCAATTACTGTTATTCCATGTTTCCCCCATTCTGATCGAGGCGATTTTCACTAGTGAGTTTGATTCCAATGGGTCCGTCGTTCCGCGTCTACTCGGCGGTATCAGGCGAGCTGCTCGCTGAAGCGGTCGAGTTCGACAGCAAACCGATCAGAGAGTTGAAGAACGACATTGCGAAGCAGGTCGGAGCCTCAAGGTTTCAACAGAGATGGTTTCATGAAGACAACAGATCTGGGCTGACTCTCAACACGTGGCACGCGGCAGTTCTTGCCAGATGCTCTTGATTTGGAATGACTTGGATCGTTCTTCCTAGCTGAGCCCTCTAAGGTGGACGGAAACCTGCCACTGCACTATCGCGAGGTAGCGGCCTCTCGTTTTGCGTGGATTTGCCTGATAGTTCTGAGGTCATGTGCGGTTCTGCATCCTTCCACAAAAGTCCGCCAAGTGGGCAGTGGCTCGAGTGGTTCGTTCTACTTGTCAAACGTTTTTGGACTTTTCTTTCCAAGATTTCCCCAAGGTCCTTTCTCCTTCAACATTGTTCGCTGCACAAGTCTGCAGATCAGATTCTCAAGTTTCCAGCAAAACCGGTTTGTCCAACGATGAGTGCAATTCATTGGACCGCTTGCAGTGAACTGATCATGAAGCAATTGCACGCTATAGTTCGTTTGACCAGCTGCAGCTTGGCACCGACCGTTTCGCTACCGCCGCGACCGCCCCAGGCGATCCCGCACGAAGTGTTGGTAGGGGAGGGGCCCCGAGCCGAAGCGGTGACTCAGCTGCGAGGGCGGTGACTGAGCCGCTGCTGACCAGTGGGGGAATGGGAAAGGGACTGACAAGGGGAACTTCCCTGACACCAACTTGGTTTTGAGGGATCCAAGCATGTTTTGACCCGTCAGGGGTGACAGCGAATCCAATCGAATCCAACGCCCCTTGGACGTTCTCCCCGTTCTCCGCAGGGGTTTGCATGCTTCGAGCTCGCCAGGACGATCTTCCACCAAATCCACATACTTTGGTCAAGAGATGAAGCAAAAAGACGTTTTGTTGTCTCAAAAACTCATCATTTACGCCTCTTTTGTGCCTGTTTTGAGTCAACTCGCCGAGGCCAAATAGTTTGCAAATAAATATTTGCACCATGTTCTTCTTCTTTCTTTCAACAGCTGAGTGGCGGACCATCCTTGTCTGCCTAGCCGAGCTCTGCCTATTTGCTCATCATATCCTATTGGGCTGTCTGCCTGCCGTCCTCCCATAAATGGAATAGAGGCACAGACCCGATGCAAATCGCATGGGGGTAACCGAGGTGTGAAGCAACGAGGGCGAAGGTTTTGATTGCGCGGAACCTAACATGGGACTGGTGTTCAAAAGTGTTCAAATGTATTGTGACCAGCAACCTGATGAGCAAATACTACCAAAGATTGGTGCCAGAACTTGAGGGAGGCCGTGCTTGGTGAGTGGTAGGATTTCTCCCTGTACTATAGGCCATGGCTGGTCCATGGTTATTGCAGGATATTGCAGGTGTGTTTTCCATGGAAACTGAAGATTGCTGGCTTTCACACGCTTTCAGATTCGATGTATCCAACTTCTTTGGGCGGTTGCTTCGGCTACTTGAGTTCTCCTTTGTTTTGGAACACATGTATACTTGTCTAATATGAAGCCGGTGGCGTGCAGTGATGTCATAGGCTCTAAATCTCTAAGAAACGATTAATGGGTTCCCCCCCTCGGATCAAATTCGCCTTCCTCCTGATTCATGTTTTTTGCATCTCGACTCATCTCACCTACAGTAAATCTTTTTCGGTTCGTCGGTTTTCAGATTTTCGCAAGAAAACACCGGTCAAAGGGTCCCAGAGCAGGTTTTGCCAATCTTCCTTGTTGCAGTATTTCCCGAACACGACCTGCAAAAAAAAAAAAGACGCCAAAGAGAACAACATATTTCAGCATGGTTGATGGGTGATGGGAATTCTTCATTCAGTTTGGATGGCAAGCTTTGACGTCTTGCACATGTCCACCGTCGACGAAATTCCAGCACTACCCAAGGTATCGAGGCTGCTTTAATGGAATTCCAAATGGCCTAGCAGTGCCCCTGTGCACGTCGAGCGATCCAGAAGATCTTTGGAGAGGGACACATGAAACTGTTTTTGGAGCTTGAAAGAGATCAAGTCGAGATCATGAGAACCTCCAAAATCACCTCCGTGCTTGCTGGAGGTTCGAAGCTGTACATGGTATCGCTTTGAATGACGCTTCCTGGATTAGCATTTGTTGCTTGGAGTCTTAGAGTGAGCTTCTGTTTTGCACAAAGCCATGGCAGCTGCTGTGGTGAACAAACGTGACCTCAGCTCGGACCAAGAATCAGCCGTCTCCCAGCAGTCCACCGAGACTCGCATCTCAGATGAGGCAACGGAGAATAGCTCGGAGCAAACGGAAGAAGTTGTGGCCACTTTGGATGGTCTGAATGATTGGATGAAAAACTTGAAAGGTTTTGCGACGAAGGGGCTGAACTTCCTGGAGAAGTGGCAGCTGAAGCATTGCGAGATCCAAAGCTTGCAAGAGGCGTGTTCTCGGCTGAAGGATGCTTGTCAGAGCTGTGAACAGCAGGACAGGCTCATCCTAGCTGGGGGCGGCAATGTGGGCAAGAGCACCATTGCAAATGCCCTGTTGGACACTCCAAGGTTCTGGCCAACTGCCTGCTATTGCATGACCTCTCGCATTTGCGAAGCACATTACGATGCTGCTGCTGATGGCAAGCCTGTCCCCAAAGATTTGGTGCACAAGAGTGCCACTTCAGAACGCGAAGAGTTCCAGCAGCCCTTGGAGGTCCCGAACCCAAGCCCTTTTCTCAAGCCCGGTGTGATTTTGGTTGACTTGCCCGGCTTGGATCAGGAGGACGAGTACATGGAAAGACTTGACGAATACATGAAGGCCCATTCTGCTGATTCTGTGGCACTCTTCTATGTGATCGACGTGAATAACAAGATCCGTGTCCCTGACCGGGACTTCTTTCGCAAGCTGATCAAACCTCCTTGGCAGAGCCTCTCCCAGAATTTGGTGCTCATGGTCAACAAGTGCGACCTGGGAAGCACTGGCAACGGGGTGACCTCTGACGAGGAGGTTCCAGACTATGCCAAGCTGATTGATGACATCACCCGAGAGGCTCAGAACTACTGCACCCCGAAGGTGATAAGCATCTCTATGAAAGACAAAAAGATGAATCATCCAAGCGCATTGTCGAAGTGGGAGGAGGTGGAGGCCAAGGCATGCGTTGCCATTAGGCAACTCAAATGCAAGCGCTTCATCAAGGTTTTAGTGTCTCTTGAAAAAGCCACGCATGTGCTCGAGTGTGTCATGAAGAACGACCAGGAGTTGCGGGCTGAGCTGGACCACAGAAGGAGCTGCCTCGATAAGGCTGAAGCTGTAGTGGAGAGGCTCAAGGCGGGCAAGGACCAGCGGGTGGCGAACCGCGCGGCAGAGATCCGGAGCGTCCTGGTAGAGAAGCAGGAGGAGCACTTGCAAGCTCTCCTGAGGACCAATGTCCCGAACCATTGGATGAGTCCAGGGAAACTGAAAATGTTTAGGGAGGATGTTTGTCAAATCATCCAGGACATGGTGGCCAACGACATCCAGCGTTCTGCCGCAACCTCAGATGAAGTTTCTGTGGTGATGCGTGTGTTGGCAGTTGCTTCTGCCGTGGCAGCGGTCGGCGCAATGACTACTGAACTTGCCAGCAGCCTGGGTCTTCTCGCCGCAACTGGATGGTGTCCACCTGCTCTGGCGGTTGGGGGAGTTGTTGTTGGGGCTGCTTGTCTCAAGTGGCTCGTCTCCATTGTACGCGATGGGGCCATGGTGGATGAGGGCTACGTGAAGCGGCTTTTTGCGGATCTCTACACAGAAGTGATTAAGACGCAGCCATCCGAGGCGGCTGAGGCAGAGTATGTGTCCATATGGAATCAGGCCAAGGAAGCCATGACTGAACAGCAAAACTTATCTCGGCTTTTGGAAAAGGAGGCAGGCCTGCACTGTTTGGATGCCAATTTCAAAGATGAGTGCTCGCAGCTACTGCAGGAGCTTGCTATCCTGCCAAAGCTGTGCAAGCAGGGGCTTGTTCATTGGATAGACTGAGCCACAAGTGCTCGAAAGTAAGCTTAAGGGAGACGGAATTTGGAACTCCCTCAGGCCTGCATGACAGTTTTAGGTTTGAGACGAGACTTTCTAGATTCCTGTGAGCGATTTTGCTCACAAGATCTCTCAATCATTTACTAGATCTCTTTGTGCCAGCTATAGTATAGCTTAATTACAGGTGCTCATGTCTCATGAGCTGAGAGCTGCAACCAGACCAGCCCTTCTTCCCGGTTTGCAGCTGGCGAAATAGCTCGTTACTCGTTGATGCCTACACACCAGTCTCAACACCCGCACCAGAGTGATCACTACTGCCACCACCAAAGTTGACCTCACATCTCTTGTGCTAACGTGTATGTGCGGAATGCGTTTCTTCCGCCCTCCTTCCGTCAGGTACGCATGAAACCTGGATCATCCTATCCAGGCCTGCTTGCGTCCGATGACACTTTCAGTGCGACTGCGTTTGGCGCGCAACATTCTGACTTTAAATTGGTATTGGTTTCATGTGTGGTTTGCAGAAACAACATTCAGATACATTCAGGCTCTATGGGTATCGGAATGTCAAAACATCCCAAGAATTCCAGGTAGGCAATAGCCAGACATCTTGCAGGTTTCGTATTCGTGTTGATGTTGGATCTTAGACTTGGTGTTGATGTATGACCGTATGACCTATGTAAGTGTACAACATCATCCCCCCTAGGCATGTAAACCATCCCAAAGACACTCGGAGGCAGTCATCTTACAGGAAGGTCGTCTTGCTCTTTGTTGTACAACGGTTGCTGTTCGATTTCCCTCCCAGGTGCTTGGCAATCCTGCGAGCATTGCTGGAGCTAGCTTGGGCCGGGACACACAGCTAAACGTCGGGTTTTGGGACCATGCAGATCCTCGCAGCTGACACCACATAGTTAGATTATGTTAGATTATGTTAGATGGACCATAGGAAGGATAATAGGATCCAAGCTGCCACTAGTGATGGCAATACTTGTGACACCTGTTACATGGAAAAGTCAAGTATTGAAGGATAAAATAGGACCATAGGGACGGGACTCTAGGATCCGTCAAACGATGTCAAACGGGAGCATGTCAACATGGGCCTGGCAGCGTTGTTTTGGACCTCAATTTGATATAACGTGCTGCTCCACATGCTGCCCTGATGATGAGGGTGAAACCACGAAGAATGCGGAACTGAGCAGTATTTTAGCTTCAGGATCTGCAGTTTTCCCTTGTTGGGGTGTTGGGGATCATGTTCAAAGCCCTTCAGACTGCAGGCGGAGGTTTGGGAAAGTTCTTGGGTGAGTGCAAACGTTGAAGCGATGCACATAGTATATACACTTTGTGTTCTGTCGAAAACACAAATAACTAAAGTGACGAGTCATGCCACAAGGCCAACTCATCACTTCGTTCACCTACTCTGACCACCTAGGGGACCGAGGATGTCGGGCCAGGGGATCTAACTGTAGCGAAACATATTTCGAGGCCGATTTCGGTCCTGGGGATCTTTGAACTCCTTGAGCTGATTGAATCCACTGAGTTCTTTTGTGTTCAGAGGCTCTTCCCTCAGTAGTGGGACAGCCATGGCTCTTCCCTCAGTCAGAAAAATTTGATCCGCAGCGGCGGAACGGCGACAAGATGCTGGAATCAACTTGTGAAAAATATGCACGCAATTGACATAATTTGCAACTAGAATGGGTGTTATAGCATGTTCCCTCCCACAATGAATCAACAGGCTGTGTTTCTCCTCCCGCCCGCTTGTTATCTTGGTGAATGCTTGTAGGAACGGCTTGTCCGGCCTGCTGCCGCGCGGCACCGCGGGGGCTACTGTGCACAGGTGCAGTTGGCATGGGGTCAGTGTGATTGGTCCTTCTTAAAAAGCCATATGACATATGACCCTAGGATTGATGCTGAGGTTTGTACATGACGTCTAGAGCCCCAAATAGGAATTTCAGGCTTTCGAGTTGACGGGGCCAGATACAGTTTGATGAGGCTGGATGTGCGAAGCTGTGTCTCTTGCGCGGCTGTGTTTTTTTGGGTCAAGTCACTACTGACTGATCGAGCACTTTACCTTTTGCACTGATAAAGCTATAGCTATAGTTCGTGCCATGCAACCACTGTGCCGAGTTGCGCCTGAGGCACGGTGGCTTTTTCAAAAAATTGCAGACGCCTGCAACGACGTGGGCATTGGACGGACAAAACAGGAACGGTGCAACGACGTGGGCATTGGACGGACAAAACAGGAAGGGTGTTGTCACGGATTATTCATGTACTATGAAAACAGAGATGCTACAGCGCCGAATGGACGGCGATGGAGTGCACATGGAGGGTCACTGACAGACTTCTTGTGCTGGAGCAAGGCAGGTCGTGATTTTTACGAAACGGCCGATCAGTGGCAGCTGCCTTCATCAAGCACAGGCTTGTTGGGATCAAAAGCAAGAACACGCCCAAAAAAGAATGGTTTCTGGAGTTTGGGGTATGCAGCCAGGGGCGAGGCTGAGTACAACCCGGCCAGAGATGTATACAACACAGTGGTAAATAATTACAACCTCCCCCTGGACTTGGGTGATTCCGTACCTGAATTGGAAGTGGAACTGCCCGCCTGGCCTGAACACAGCACGGAGGGTGGCATTCATGAATCATCCGGCACAGCAGCACGTTTCTACGGCTCCTGCGCAATATCAGGCAGCCGCGATGCATGCTTTGCGTCATCTGGCCGAAGTGGGGCTGTCAGCTCGGTCCCTCGTGGTGGTTCAGCAGTGACAAATTTTTTTTCAGATGGAGACTACTCGGCATATTCCGAAAACAAATCAGGTACTCAGAAGGCCGTCTCTCTAACTGTGAACCTTGAAGATTCGAGTAGCACGATATCATACGCTCGAACCGAGAAAACCGTATCAGGTGCATATGCCTCATCTAAGGGCCACTCGGCAGCGTTCGCCTATGATGGAGATTCATTCAATGGCAAGGTTACACATAAATCAGGATTGACGCTGGCAGCCACCAAGGACAGCAAATCCCTGACTCCCGCTGTCAGCGTTGGGTGTTCTTTTGGCGGCGTCGTGCTTGCGAAGCCTCTCCGCCTCCGACTGCATTGACAGCGTCGTCTTTGTGTAAAAAGGTCGTGTGCGGAATCGCCTGAACGCTTTGATCCTGGCACCTTGGGGAGCTTATGTCTATGTTACATGTTCAAAGATTTGAGGGCTGTGTGCTCAACTCCAGGAGCAGAAGAATGGCTTTGAAAGGCTGGGATATCCAGTCACAGTGTCCGATGGCGCAGCAGGTCGGTTGTGCGTGGAAAGAACCTGTGCTATTCCAAATTGATTTCCTTAGACTGTCCCTTTTGGGCGACATGGTGGGTTCCGAGTTCTGAATCTAAGTCTATTTGAGTCATGAAGATGCACTGCAATGCTTCTGGACTCGAAAGGGCAAAGAGGAAGAACTTTGCCGTGTGGATCCCAAACGATCCCAAACGTGCAGTCAAGGGGGCGAAAGCGTCGGTTGGGAAGGTATGACTTGGATTACCCCCCCTAGTATCCCCTAACCTATTCATACCGTTTCACGACTCTAAACAAAAACGGGATCCCTTCTTTCAGCATCAGCATGATGCCTTGACATCCGTTCGCCAGGCCCCAGAGGGACGAACGAGGACTTGGGCCCCGGTCGGAGTGGCGACGTGTCGGTGGAAGGCAAGCACGCCGGGTCAACGAAGTGATTCTTGGGTCGAAAGACCTGAATATACCTTAATGTAAGATAGTTGCTGCATGCTGTTGCCTTTGTGTTTCTTTGATTGTACATAATTGAATTTAAGTTGACATGGATTTGGAGGAGCTCAAAGCTAGCAAAGCTGGAAGATTCATGATGTGCTTTGGGACTTTGCCCTTGGGCTCTCTCGGTTATTGGGGGCCAACCATTCTATACCGTCGGTGGAAGATTGCCTTTTTGCCGCAAAACAAAGAATTTATTGTATCCATACAAGATCTTCAAGAACAGAATCAACACACAGAATCACATCGAAAGTAATTATGGCACTGCATGTTACTTTAGACAATCCCCTGCCTCCTTGCCATCGATTTTATATGTTCGTGACATCTACTTTGCACATGGGTATGCCAAGTTATATGCATTATGTTGTTTGGTTGCTTTTGCAAATAACATCGGTCCTCCGAACAACTGAATCGATCTCGAGTGCTCCAGGACAGATGGGCAATCCGTACTGGCTGGCCAGCATGCGGCAGCAGGCATTGCCGCGGGGGTGACATCCGTGATATTCTTGAATTCAGTAAGTGTTGTAGTCCAATCCTCTGACTGAGGTGGAACATGATTTATGTTGAACATTTCAGGTAAAAACATGCCTCAAGCTACATCCAGGACTACACGGGAAAAAAGAACCAAGAATCAGTTGTGCTACAATTACCCTGAGCTGCACCACGGGCCTAATGAGGCCTAACTGCCTACCGATACGATATTAAAAAGTCCAACAAATCAATACCTAATACACATGAATTCAGATAAGAAAGAAACTGATCAGCAAGTACAACTGTCACATGTCTTCATTATATTTCACACCTTGAAACCTTTGGCTTTTGAACATCCTTGAAAAATGGGGCCTCCACAACATTGGTTTATCATATTATTGTGGTGTCCCCACGGCATCAAGTTACCACTATAGCTGGTAACCAGTGGTTCCAAAGACTAACACCATGGACCTAGAATCCCTGGTTCCTTATATAGTGGTAACTGGGATGCACTGGGGTCCCTTTCAAACATGTTTGAGCATCATACTTACTTGTCTATTCTCAGGAAACTGACGGTGTAGACTGTAGACATTTAAGCGATGACCATGCTAAGCCGTCCGAAGTTCACTTATGTTCGATCCAGTTTTGATGCACCCCTGCAGAACATTGCAGAATCATGGGTTGATAAAGTCATTAAGCACACCAAATTCGACCAAGAAAGAGGATCCCAGGTCCTTTCGATACTTCTCATCACAAACACACACAGAGAAACTGGATCCTTCTGTATCGTAGGTCTTCTACCTCACGAGGTGTTGATTCCGAGCCCCCAGCGAATCGGGTCTCTGAAGGCCGCGCGAATGGAACAACCCTTGCGTCGAAAAAAACAAAGGAAGAGGGAAAGCGGGGGTGACCTTTTGGAACAGCCTCCGAGTGGGTCAGAAATCATGACGCGTGTTTGATTTCATGTCGAAAATGAGATGTTTTTTCGAAGGGATCCGCAGGATGATCCGCACGATGGTGTCCAAAAGTGGATGGCTCAAATCCAGGAACACGGGCTCAGTTCTCAGCCCACACTCCGGTTTGATCAGCAGAAAAGAGGGCAATCCTTTTGCGATCTTCAAACGGTTACTTTGGATGAACTCAACTATAGGGAAACCCTCAAACAATTCAGGAGAGGGAGAAAAAGCCGACTTGTCAAAGGAAATGACCACTAGTTGCCGCCCATCCTATCGTCCTTGTTCAAATCAATCTGCTCATGTTCCGCGTCTACTCGGCGGTCTCCGGCGAGCTGCTCACGGAAGTGGTTGAGTTCGAAGGCAAGCCGATCAAAGAGTTGAAGAACGACATTGCGAAGGAGGTCGGAGCGTCGAGGTTTCGACAGAGATGGTTTCATGAAGATCGCAGCGAGCTCAAAGATGAGGATTTACCTCCTCAGAGTGTGCAGCTGGTCATTTTGAGCTTTGTTTCGCCTGAATTTGCGCACGACCAACTGATAGCAGTATGTGTGGAGAATGACTTTGACAAAGCTGAAGCATTGCTGCGCCAGCCCATCACTCCAGAGGCTGAAGATGAAGATGGAATGACAGCCCTGCATTTGGCAGCACAGCGCGGCAATTGGCAATGCGTGGGTTTGCTGCTTGAAGCCTGTGCCATGACCGATAAGAGCGACACCTGTGGTAGCACAGCCTTGCATTTGGCCGCCGAGAATGGCCATGTGCAAGTCGTACGCCTCTTGCTGAATGCCGGAGCCGGCAAAGACAAGGTGACGGGTGATTGGGAAACCGCCTTGCATTTGGCAGCCAAAAAGAACCATCTGGAAATTGTGAGGCTGTTGCTGCAGGCAAAGGCTGACAAAGACAAGATCACCAAAGAATGGAAGACAGCTCTGCATTTGGCAGCCAAACGGGGCCGCGAGGAAGTTGTAAGGCTCTTGTTGGATGCCGGGGCACACAAGGACAAGGTCACCAACCACTGGAAGACCGCTTTGCATTTAGCGGTTGCCAATCGTCACCTCAGCGTCGTTCGGCTCTTGCTTGATGCAGGTGCTGACAAAGACAAGGTCAACCACGATGGGGAGACCGCTTTGCATTTGGCTGCTGAGAATGGTGATCAGGAAATGGTGCAGCTGTTGCTGGAGGCTGGTGCCGACAAAGAGAGGGTCACCCGAAAATGGAGGACCGCCCTTCATTTGGCTGCCGAGAATGGCGTGAAGGAGGTTGTGGGGCTGTTGCTGGATGCTGGAGCTGACCGAGATAAGGTCACAGGCAAAGGGGAGACAGCTTTGTTGTTTGCGGCTGAACATGGCCACCACGACAGTGTGCAGCTGCTGTTGGAGGGTGGGGCAAACAAAGACTTGGGGACCAGAGCAGGGAAGACGGCCTTGCATTTGGCCGTCGAGATTAACCACTTCAGCATGGTGCGGCTGCTGCTCGATGCTCGGGCCGACTATGACAAGGCGACCATCACCGGGGAAACTGCTTTGCACGTGGCGGCCAAAGGAAATGGCATGGCATTGGTGAGGCTGTTGCTGGATGCTGGGGCCAATCGGGACCTTGTGACCACCGCATGGGACACAGCCTTGCATTTGGCCGTCAGACTCAACCATGATGGAGTTGCACGTTTGCTGTTAGAGGCGAAGGCAGACAAAGACAAGGTCACGAGTGATTGGGAAACGGCCTTGCATTTGTCCAGCGAGAATTGCAATCCTGAATTGGTCAGACTATTGTTGGAGGCTGGGGCTGACAAAGACAAACCCAACCGAAGGTGGCAAACTGCTTTGCATTTAGCGGCTGAGAATTGCCACCATGAGGTGGTGCGGCTGTTGCTGGATGCTGGGGCTGACAAAGATCAGGTGACCATCAAAGGGGAGACGGCTTTGCATTTGGCAACCCAACATGGAGATCAAGGAATAGTTCGTTTGTTGCTGGAAGCCTCTGCAGATCAAGAGAAGGTGATGCATTGCGGTCTGACAGCTTTGCATTCGGCAGTGATTAAAAGGCACCTTCAAATTGTGCGCTTGTTGGTTGAAGCTCATGCTGACACAAACATCGCCAATGATGAGGGGAATGCTTTGCATATCGCAGCTGTGCATGGGGATCAGGAGGTGGCTCGGCTGCTGTTGGATGCTGGAGCCAACAAAGACACGGTCACCGACGACGGAGATACCGCATTACATTTGGCAGCCAAGAAGGGTCACTTGGAATTCATCCGCGTGCTGCTTCGCGCAAGGGCTGACCAAGGCAAGATCACCCGTGATGGGAAGACTGCCTTACACTTGGCGGCTTTGAACTGCGACGTTCAGCTTGTGCGCTTCTTGCTTGATGCAGGTGCTGACAAAGACCAGGTCACCCCGGATGGGGAGTCGGCGCTCCATTTGGCCGCCGAGGAAGCTGACCAAGAAGTGGTGAGGCTGTTGCTACAGGCCGGCGCGGACCCCGATTTGACCACTGCTTTGGGGAAAACAGCTCTGCATCTGGCCGCGGAGGAGGGTGACCTGGAAGTGGTGCGGCTGCTGCTGGAGGCGCGAGCCGACTGTGACAAGGTCACTTTTATGGGGGAAACAGCGTGTAGCTTGGCTGCGGGCCATCCGGAGATCTTGCGACTGCTGCGCAAAGAGAAGTTGGATGGAGCAGGTCCAAAGGAGACTGCGAACAAACGACAAAAGACTTGAAAATTGAGCTGAACGCATCAGGAGGGTTCTGAGAACTGCTTCGAGCCTAACATGGCGACAGTTTCGTGAGTTTGTTGATTGAGATGTTGTAGATCCTGCTACTTCAAAAGAATCCTTTGGATCCTTTGGTTTTCAAGAGCTAATTCCCACTTATGGGTTGATGCTTTTAGATGGGGCATGCCTAGTCTATTTACTATTGGCTGAAGTCCCGGTCGTGAAGGCATACCATCAGACTACTTGGCACACCGCATTCCTATAGGTCCTAGGACTTCAACAACCATGGCACCAAAACATGTTTTGGGCCACCTCCAAAGAGAATTCATGACCTCACTGTAGCTTCACTCCTTGATGACTCCAGTCAGGGGAACCGGTGACCTCGATCCCGACCGCTTCTCCGGCGCAGGGCCCGTGACCGAACGCCCGAACGCCGCGGCGACGGAGAGGACGCCGAAGAAAAGGAGTCAAAAGGTCGGAGGTGTGCGGTCACATGTGCGGATGGGGTGAATTTCAGCTGGTGAGGGTAGGGGTTTGGATTGGTCATTCCTGTGGGAGTTGGATTGGTCCATGGGCACCATGGGCGCAAGAACCAATAGGCGATAGCCACTTGGTCGGTCACGCGGTCACGTGGAGTCGGGGTCAGGTTGGTCGCGGTGTCACAGTAAGAGCAAGAAGATGGGTGTTTTGTGAAACTTGTGAAGCTCATGTGCAATATATGGTGCAATTCATAATCACCATCGAGATCCATAGAGTCACTAGGGCCGGGGCCAGGATGCCAAAAGCAAAACAAGTGTTGACCAAGAGGTGCAACAATGTTCGATGTCGTCCCAAACGTCTTTAGATGAATAGGAAAGGGAAAGGGGTGTACAATGGTGCACATCGCACTGGTGAATCATGTCCCAGTCGATGGGCTTTTGAACTTGGGCTCTTGGCTTTCTCGATCGGAGTCTTAATTGAAAGAACAGCAAGACCTGAGCATAGGTCAAGACCTTGGGCTCTTCTCTGAGCCTGAGTCTTCTTTGACCTCTTTCTTTTTCGGCTCAGAGCATAGGCTGTCAGAGCATTTGCCCCGATCCAGAGTCAAGATGGAGGAACCGGCGGCCAAGAAGCAAAAAACCGAGGAGACGCCCCTTCCGGTCCATCGCGGCACCGGATCCGGTCTGCCGGTCGACCTGTTTTGGACGTCCGATCCGACTGACTCAACGACCAGTGCAGTCGACGGAGATCATCGCACGTTGACCGAAGTAGCTGTCGCTGGGTCTCGAGATGTGGAAAGAATTGGTTCCGTCGTCCCCTGTCGTCCACGAGTGATGCAGGTCGGTGTCTTTCCCCTTCAAACCCAGACTTATTATATCTTATTATTATATGATCGAGACTGATTAGACCATTTCTTCCTGGCTGGACACTGAAGAGATACACAAGAGAGCCCAATCCACACTCCCCCCCCCCGTTGTGAGCGGGTGAGACCATCGTGGCAGCTGCTGTGGTTTCTTTTCAGGAGGGACATGGAGGTTTCATCACCCAAGGAGTCAAGAAGCGAAGGCATACGGAAACACATGCTCATTGATGTTGCAACTTACTGTGTTTCGTTTGTACCGGAATCCAAACAGTATCATGATATACGTTCCACCTCGGGTCTCCTTGCTTTCAACCACGTCAAAGACATAATATGCTGAGTCTATTGTGTTTTCTGCTTTTCCCGCAAAAAAAACTCAAACTTTCGCCCCGCCCCCCCCCCCAAAAAAAGAACCCGCCCCCCACCCCGCTGCGGAACCAGGAGGCTCCGGCGGAAGAGGCCGTGCCGGCGGTGCCTGCGGAGCCCGAGGAGAAGGAACAGGATGCCGTGAGGCTCAAGGGAGATCGATTGAAGGAACCAGTGCCTCGGGCGATGGTGTGGGCCGAGGGGTTGGAGTGAAGGAGTGAAGGATGAGATCACCCAGGACCGGCCCAGAAGGTGTCGAGGTGACGGGTAAAGTGAGGAAAGAAGTAGCTGGACACTGGACATCTAGAATGGTGGGACATGTTGAGGGCTGAAGTGGGAAATGTTTGCATGTGGGCTGGACTCTACACTTGGGTTTGTAATGTGTTCACAGCGGGTTCGATCGAGGACAGTGAGAATTGAGAAGGTAGTTCTTGATCCACGTTCTTCCAGGTGATGGATGCTCCAGAGTTTTACGAAATGTTGTTTGGATGCACTAGTCTAGATGAACACGGAGGGTTCTGGACACAGTGACTTCTCCAGTGCCCCTTCTGCACCTGCACCCAATGTCGGGGACTTGTTGATGGCGTGAGTAACCTCATTCAAGACCTTTTAATTGTGGATTTTGGGGATTGGCGGGCAGCTGCTGTGTTCTTCTCGTTTGTGACATTTGATGAAATTTGCAACTCTTCTTAAACGAAAGCCCTGGCACAGCAGCTCACGTGCCAGCCTTGTTTTGAGGCTGCTGGACGATGTTCTAAACAAATGAAGGCAAGAAAAAACTTGAAAAGTCCTCAACTGACTTTTTCATCCCAAGGAGGTGGCCGGATAGTTGGGCCGCTTTTTCTGACGTTTGAGGACTGGTATACCCTGGCCATAGATGTGCTTTCCGGGCACCTTTGGCTGTGAATGACCTTCCCAGGTGACCTTCCATACCAACGACACCACCTTGAATGTCATGGTCTCGTCCTCGGGCTCCTCCACCTTGCTGATGCCGCTGTCGGATGGCCGCCCGGATGAGAGTGGGAAAAGCTCCGCTGCTGTCGTGGTTGGAGCACGAGGAAAGCAACTTCACCACAGAAAAGAACAGATTCGTTGGCCAGCATGGACAATATGTTGTATAACATAGGTTCATTCTGGTTTCTCAAAATCTACTACGTTTGTTCTGAAAGACAAAGTAATATATGTGTTTAAAGCATTTTACCCGCTCTTGGTCTCATGTCACATGTCGTTGTCACATGTCGCGTTTTGGATTGGACAACTGCTGCACACCACAACACCCAAGGTGGCATCCGACACCTTTTGGCAGGTGCGCGAGCCAGCGTGGGCTTGAAGGCGGGAAGATATCTCTTCGAGGCCAAAGTCCTCGAGACGCTGGGCGGCAGATCGTTCAGTGGAAGGAAATGCTTCCAATGCAGTGGAATGGCCTGGTGTTTTTTCTTTTTTCTTTTTTACTCGTAGATTCATAATTGCTGCTATCTTACTGAGGTTATTCCGGGGCCGGATCCATGATTCATAGATCAGTTGTTTAAAAAAGAAACGCATTTAGCTACAGAGTTTTGAGATGGACGAGCATGATGTGGCACCAGGTACATAGAGGGGAGTCCGTTCAAACTTTGTTCAGGTGCTGAGCATTCTCCACCTACGGTTGATAGGTTTTGTATGTTTCTGTTTCTTTTTTGTAGACTGACGTAAGAAGTATTCTCCTAAGCATTACTGGGCTAACAACCAGTGAGCACTGTGGCCTGAGTCCATCCTGCCCTCCTGGTGCTCGTCGCAGAGTTCCTTCCGCTTCTCAGTCCGCTTCTCCCCCTTCACGGGTGGCACAGTAGCGGAGCCGAACCGTTTGGCGATCCAAGGCATGTGCAGCGACAAGAGGATGGCGCCAAGCCAACTCCCAAGCACGTGCCCTGCCAAGAAAGTTGGGGGAAGAAATGGATCGAAATCCCGGAGTCACAAAGGGATGCCAAACTTGGAGGGTTGGAGGATTGGAGGAAGTGCCACTGGAAGTGCCCATTTCCACTCACTGGATGGGACTAAAAACCAACCACCCAACCCCATGTGACTCCGGGATGTGTTGTTTTCTTCGAGGTGTTATCTTCGAGGGAAACAAGGCTAATTAGGGTTGGGTGAGCCAAGTAGGCCAAGTGCTGCAATTTCCCACCAACTAATCCCACCATTGGGCGAAGAAATGTTTGATTCTTCATGGTTGTGGACTGGAAGTTCTGATTCTCAACCAACTACGAACCATCGAACATCCCCTGCGAGTAGTAGGTAGCTGAACAAATCATCCGAATGTTTCAGGCGCGACGCGAGACGAAGACAAAGTGGCCCTGCATTCCTGGAGCGAGACCCTCCACCAGTGGTGGTGTTTGCTTCAACTGCTTGGGTCCCCTCGAAGTCGTCCTTCAACACGACTGGAGGACCCAAACGGAATCAATCGAGGTGACTCGACGAATCCACAGATGGGTCACCCATCACCCCAAAGCTCCAGAGGGGTGACTCCGGGGTGACGAGACGCGACTTCATCGAATCTGAGAGTGGTCGGGTCTCACCAAAAGACCTTTAAGTTGCCTTGCTCAGGAGGCACAAGAACCAGGGAAGACAAAGAGTAACCAGGGAAGAGCATGGATTTATACATATTTAGACCTTTTGTGGCCTTGGTTTTTTGCAGAAGATCCCAAACGTTCTCTTTAAGACCGCTTCATTACTCTTTCGCCCTGCGCCGCCGGCCCAGATCCTCAGACTGGGATTTTCCACCAAAGACTCCCCGCTGCTCATGGGTGGAACTACGGATGTGTGCTTCGACATGGAGGGCTTCCTCATCCAGGAGAGGGCGGAGAGTGCGAGGTTTTGTTGTTCACGTTTTCGTTTCTTTTGTCATGTGTGATGGGTTCCTTTCCATGCGTGTTTGTGTGTTTCTTTCCGCATGCAGTGTGCTGCTTTCCAGAGTAAAGAAGAATGACGATATGGATCTATATGGTAAGCCAATTGAGTGATCCTGAAAAAGAGTGAACATTGATATTGAGTTGCACACACAAGTGTCCCAAGACATGTAAGTATAGTGTTTGATTTCGTTTTTCAACTGGGGATAGAGAGACAGAGCCAGAGCATGTATGTTTCTATCGGAGTCAACCAGCATAGGAATAAGGGTCATTAACAGAATGTGATTCCCAGGGCATCCAGTTACCACTATAGCTGGCTGGTAACCAGTGGTTCCAAAGACTAACACCATAGACCTAGAATCCCTGGTTCCTTGTTATATAGTGGTAACTGGGATGCAAATCTTCTCCGCACATGTTCCCGGCCTCCCCACTTTCCTCACTTCCCAGTGTTTGCTTCGAAAGCGCCGGGGACGCGAGTTCGAAACCATCCACCGCTTTCGATCGACCGAACTCGATGAACGATCCACCGGGAACGGCCCTAGCAAGTCGACCGGAAAAAAGCCACAAAGTATATACCCTCTCTGCAGATTGGACCCTGAAGACCACGTCGGGTGGTAGATGAGAATCGTCTAAAATGGGATCCATTTAGCCTTCATCCATGTCACTTGTCCAGTTCGGGTACCACCACCGCCCAGTTCGGGTGTGGTTGTTTACCAAAGGACCTCCCTGTGTCACCGCCCCCCTCATCACCCCCGAATCGAATGGATGTGTCACTGGGTGTAATTAAGGTGGGTGGGCTTATGGATTGGTCCATTCTTCGTGCCTTTGATGTGCGGAACATTCAGGAGGGCAAGAGGACTCCGCTGGGCGTGGGCACCAGATATGGCAAAGGTAGTCTCTTCGCCTGCAGGAAGTGGATTTCCCGACATGTCAGAGAAAACCCAGGATTTTTGTCTTGAGTTTTGATTTGTTTTGATCTTCAAAGATTGATTTGGGTTTTCTCTAAAAAACCCAACAACAATCTACATGATGTGGCTCCAGTGGGGTCCAATGGGCCCATTGGCATCGTGTGAAATCAGGTTTCTCCTGCAAGGTACCGAGCATGAGCATAGGGGGATATCGAGTCTCAGACCGGTCTGGAGTGAATAGTCAAGATACACACCCTGTCTCTGCACAGCAAAGATGAAAACTCAGAGCCTACATGAGCCTACTGTATTTGTTTGTTTTTAAGGAAGATATGTTATGACTTGTTATGATAACACAGACCATATGATGTCATTGTTTCTCTGGGCTCTCAAGAAGACCATTAACACCTCAACACCGCTTTGAACCCGGGATTCCATCTCACGCGCATGTGCGACTCGCACCCGGAGCAGCTCGGAAGCCCAACGGAGCCTCCTCCAGGTGTGGTGGGAGTGCTGCTGAACTTGGACAAGAAGAGTCCCAATGCGTCGCTTCTGCGGGCAGGGCAGTTGTTATACGCGTGGTCAACACGAAAACGCGCGGTGCGAACGGCTATTTCTGGTCGGTGTAAAGAACTACGGACATCTATATCAGATGATATCAGAATTCGTGAGGAGGTTGTCACACGCAAAAATGAAGGTCCAAAGCTACTTCGGATGTGTCCGGTAGACTTGGGGATGGAATCGGGGGGAGTCACATTCAGGAGTTCAAAAAGTCCCTCTGGGGGAAGAGGATTTGAATATATATGGACGATGTAATAATGAAGCCCTTCTTGAACACGTATTGAAACTCGATGTTTTTCATGTTCTCTATTTGGGAACAGCTAACGCGGATGTCTCGCTTTATTCAACGCGGAGCTAGCTCTTTGAAGATTCCATTGAGCAGACTAGCTCTGTTTGCCATCTCCATGACTCCCGGCCATGGAAGAAAGGCACGCCCTAGGGATCCAAGTACCTCCCCAAACACCTTCTCAGAGGGTACTTGGATCCATAGGGACGTATATGTTAGTCATATATATGTCGGAGTCACAATCGTTTTGAGACACTTGATGAGCACATCCAAGGTACACCATCAGTTTGTTCAAAGATGGAAAGCGCGTCTGCCAGCCACAAGCTCTCCCAGATGAGTTGCACGGGATTCTTCAGCTGCATGGGAGGTATATGGGCTGGGTGTTTGTTTCTTTTCGTGGCCTAGTGCCAGTGTCGCGAGTACAGTTCAATGAAGTTCATGCTCGTTGGAGAAAGGTATACGGCCTGACAGGGTCGTTGATATTGTCAGAACAAAAGTGTCCTGTCATAAGTCAGTTCTGAGGTTGTCCTTCCAAATCCTTCCATTAATCTCAGGAGCCTACCCCTGGCTCTCTGGAGGTTTGCGGAAAAGATGTTCGAATCCCTGCTTTGCTCTTCGAATGTCCTGATGCACTGCCTCAGAACTGGTAATGTATATACCGCGTACACCTACTTGCGCCTGACCGAGTTGTATAAACTATTGCTACCTCCCTTTGCCCGGCCCAACCAAGATTGTCCTGCGTTGAACGACCTTTATAGAACGTAGCTTTCTGAATATATTATGTTCTTATACGTTCTGCGAACGAAACTACTGATCCACCTTTTTGGCATCCTCCTTGATAGACTCATGGGTGAAAAAGTAGAGAACCACCCATTTTGACTGGTGGCTCTTCCCTGGTTCTTTGCAGAACTTGGAGGCAAACACATCGCAGGAAGACCTATTGCTTGATCCTGCCGTGTCCGCCAAGGAAGACCTTGTTCCCCACCATCAACTACCGCAACGTGGCCGTGAGTGTGAGCTTCTCTGGGTGCCAAGCGGCGCTGCCCTTCACCTGCGACATGGTGCAGGACGGAACCACCGAACGGAATCCATGTGCCTTTTCGGATTGGAACTGTTTTGGATGAACATCGGATTGGAAGTCTTTCGCTGCTTTAATGGTTTGCCTTAAATAACACCATTACTTATAAATACTTCACTGCCAACCAGTACGAACCACCGCAGCGACCTCCAATCCCTACTAGGGATCGTACCGAACTCTCACAGACCTTACGGCGACCCTCCTCATTGCCACGGTGCTCGACACCTCGTCGGGTCCCCGAACCGATCGTTCGAACCGGTTCGGCTCCCGTCGTCTACCGAAGGCGGCGGATCCGACCGGAGCGTGAGCGACGCTACGCGTCCAGGACGCCATGGTCTCGCATAGCGTGGTCACGCCAGCAGACACCACAACGGAGTTCGAGGTCCTGTTCCCTTGCTGTTTGCCCGACCAAGGCTGGACCACCACGCGAGCATGGGAATGGGGTTCTGAGCATGGGGAAGGGAGGGCGATCGATTTGATGACGCGCGTTTTTTTTTCGCAGATCATGTGTCTCGATGATTTCTGATGACTCATGTCTCCGTCGCATCCCTTGGTTTCTGATGACACGCATGCCGCATTCAACAAACGCACCCTGTTCGGACATGCCCCCCCCAAAAAAGGGGCACCCTGTTCCGACCTGTTCAGATACTCTCTCTCTCTCTCTCCGCAACAAACCTCCTCGTCGCGGAGCATTCCCAAACCTTTATCCACCGCCGCCGAACGTCGGACACCGACGTCCACCCCAACCCGAAGCCCCAACCTCCGAACCTCGCGCCCTCCGAACCTCGCATCCTCCGAACTCCTTCGGGCGGAAGCGGAGCGCAGAGCGCGGTGCGCAGCTCCGTCAGCCGAGGTGGCTTCGATTGGCTGGATTTGTTCAAAGCCAAGAACCCGCAATACATCGAGCTGTCGGATCGGATGATCATGGACTGGGCCGAGAAGAGCCGTGGTAGCGACGTGGGGAATAGGGACGGGCGGGGAGGGCGGAGGGCTGGTGGGGACGTATGGGGACGGGTATGCCGTGGTATGGGTGGAGGGTGGAGATCCGAGGATCAGGGTAGATCTTTGGTGGTGGTTCTTGGAGCTCAGTCTTGGGGATTCTTTTGCGCCACCAGCGAAGTCTGAAATGGGGAGAAGTAGTACGGTGGGGGCATGAAGATGTTTGAGACACTTGTGGAGGCTCTATATAGGAGCGAGGGTATGTTGGGAATACTTGAAAAACCTTATATATCGGAGGTTGGAACGAACCCGAATGAACTTCCAAGACTTGGTCAAACTTCCTGGTGCGTCGGATTGACCTGATCTACTTTGCAGGGGGTTTAGCTCTCATGCTGTGATGTCCTATATATAGCAGCCTACGGGGAGGATCTCCGGAGAGGCTCTGGCCCAAAATGGGTTGGTGTTCAGGCCTAAGGGACATGTATAAAAACATATATATGTAATTATATGTATACACATATATATATACATAGCAAGCATTCATTGGGCCATTGAAATGTTTAAAACATGTAAATGGCTTCCGATTGGGTTTGGACCCGTGGTATTTGGGAATGGTATTTTGGTTCGAACTTGGATATGTCATATCACCGACCGTATGTTCTATTCGTCGCACGAGTTGCAGACTCCAATCACCTTTTCAGACGGTCAAGTTGCTGTGATTGGAGTGACTCAGAGCAACCATCCAATCACCTGTCAATCACTCCAATCACCTATCATCACACAGAGTTGCTGTGGCTTTGTGTTTTTTTGCGCGATGATTGGGTTATCACTCCGACTAGTCTTTGGAGGGTATTCCAAACATCTGTGACATTTGCACAAAGATCACAAAGGCCACAGAACAAAACAACATAAAACAACCCTTCATGACTTCATGAGTTACACCTTGAAATGATAGTTCCAAGCACCAATTCGAACACCCAGGGGAGTTCACTATGACTTGAATTACTGTTCTTTGACCGCACCATCACCCCGGGGTCCTTCGCAAAAGACCGTTTGAGACCGAGACGAGGAGCGGCATCACCTGCCCCAAGCTGCCGGGCAGCAACGACAAGCCGGAGATGAAGTTCGGCATCCCGGAGATGGAGGATATGAGCATCCGGAGGACCCCCGGCGCAGGTTTCGGTCGCGCGTGTCGGAACGCGCAGGTTGTCGGTCGCTGCAGGCTGCCGCAGATAGGAGACGTAGGTTCGATATACCATCCACCATGGAGTTCGGGTGGGTTAATGGACCCCTTTGATGTATGTTCCTTCCAAGAACCATTCCAAACTGGGCGGTGCTTCTATGTTTTGCATGACAATAAACATCCCGTTGCCTGTCGTGCGCGGGCGAGCAGGATGATTTCATCGATGGCTCCTTTGCAGAAGCGAAATTACATCATCATGGAGATGCGGTCGAACCTCATCAAGGACAGCTGTGATAGCTTAGCTGTGGAAGGTATCCAGAGGGGGGGTGAAGGGGAGGTTGAAAGGGAAGGCATATCATTTGGATTCAATTGGTATCTTTGGTCGAGTTCTAGACATGGGACTGCTCTGTCCTGGGCAAAGACCAGACCGTCTTTGCAGTGTGTTCAGACCGTCTTCGGTTCATTCTTAGACCGTCTTGGGGATGATGTGAATGGTGACAGGTCCGACAGGTGATGGTTGCAGGTGATGGAAAGAGCAACCCTCTGTGTGGCCGGACCGTTGGATGAGCAACGAGTCGGGAGGTGTATGTCATGTGTAGGTCCGGACGCAAAAAAACTGACGCAACGACAACGATCTTGATGACATTCTTTACCGCAAGACATAAATTGGACGTGGAACAACTAATGGACCTTAATGGGTGTTTGACCAAAGGCCGAAGCATCAGTTCGTACAATGCTACCACACTGTGCAGAGTTTGCAGCACAGGCAAAGGGAGCGTTCACTCACTCCCATGTAGATGAATTTTCTGTGGACGGCGGAACTGTGTTCAATCTTTAAGTTTAGCTGTAACCTATTCAATCATTTCAATATCCCCTGAAAGTCTTCCTGATATGTAGGGACTTCCATGGCCAGAAACAAACCATAATCATCCATAATCCAAATAAACGTCATATACTTATGTAAGGCTCCAGTCGTACCTTCTGAGAAGGTGGGACTGGGGTGGGTGCCACAAAAACAAGTCCAAATACCTTCTGAGGAGGTACAACTGCAGCCCTCGGGATACTTACCGTGGTTTCAGAATAGATGGCACAACCCCCAAGATGTGTTTTATATAGGTGCCCATCAAAACCACCAAACTTGGGGATGATGCCATCTACTCTGAAATCACTGTATTTGTTTTGTTCAGAGGACTATGGCATGACAGTCGGTCCCATGTTTTCTTCCCGAAACCATTGGAGTTGCCACAGGAGTTGCGCACCGACGGCGTCGCCCGGTTCTTCGACAGTTCCTTCAAGAGACTGGGGCGAAACGAAATGGGACCCAAGGGTGGCCGAAGAGCACCAAGAGAGGTAGCCAGTGACCTGAACGAACGGACCCTACTGGCCCTACTGGGGTACCGGATGGGATAGTCGCACGTTCGGGTCATGAAATATATGGACCCCATCTGTCTAGGACATCTTGGGGTGCCAGTGCCATCATCTTTGAAACCCGTCCGACAAAGTCGGAAGGTAGGACATCAGCGAACGATGACATTGAGAACTGAACCATATTTACCGCGAACGCTTGAAGGCTTGCAGTTTCTTTGTAGTTCAAGGATGTTCAAGGAATTCAGTATCTATATCAGTGCATATGGTGCCATATGGTACCGACAACCGCCACCCTTGTTTTGGAGCCCAAACATGTTATTTATTCCTGTCAAAACAGAGTCAATTCCAGGTGTCAACCGTTGGACATGCGAGCCCCACGTCCTGGAATCACATCTTGTCCCTCCAGCTTGTTTGACTGAACTTGGCTTTCTGAGTCTCCCGCAAACGCCATGACCCACGCTTTCGTGTCCATCGCGCGAACACCGGCGGCGGCACATATAACACCGTACATGCATCCGCACGAGACGAGCCTCGGTACCTTTCGCAGCTCGAGGAAGAGGGCGTTCGTGGTGATGGGCGATCCTAGCATCGAGTTCAAGAAGAAGTCCCAGGAGGGTCGTCGGGACCTGTCTGAAACTCCGTCCGACGGATGGTCGAGACCAGGTCAAGAACGCGGGGTTGACGGAGGAAAACAGGGAAGAAGAAACAAGAAGAAAGAAAGTGGTGCGACCGAACAGCTTCAACAAAAAGGAAGGGTCGGGGACTGGTTCCACTTCTCATGAATTGGATGGGTTCCATTCATGGTTTCCCCTTGGCATGAAGTCGAGATAAATTATCTACATATTCTACAATATTCTAAAATAAGCGTTGGTTTACATATGTTTACATCCATAATTATCCTTCATTTTGCCTCAACCCCGCCAATTTGATTTGTTTGCGTGTCAATGTTTTTCCTCCAGCCTTTTGCAAGGAGCTGCTTCTGAAAGATAAGCAGGAGCAAATTGATGCGCAGTTCAAGAAAGAGAAGGAAGAGGCGGCACGGATCGGGAAGAGCCGGGCACGGAGAGAGAAAGTCCCAGTCGCCCCGACCAGCGGTTTACACCTCCACCGCCGGGTCTACGACGGGATCTCTTTGGGCAGATGGTTTGGGAGACCAGCGATCCAATGAGGGTGTTGGCGAGAGAGAGAGATAGAGAGCGGGTGTTGGAGGCTGAACTGGCACCACTGTTGGTCGACGGTTTTTTGGGGGGTCGACGGTTGTGAGCGCTTCGCTGTCGACAACTGGGTAGAAAGACATCGGAAGAAGCCGCGGTGGACTTCAGTCTTTTCGCCCAGACGCTCCAAACGGCTCTTGGTCCCTCAAAACCCTAGGGATTTCAGGGTCCGGAGCCCTACTTAGGAGGGTCCATGAGCGTCTTTCCGGAAGAACTCCCGTAAGCGAGGGCCCCGAAAGCATCCAGAAGCGCGAACACTCACGAGATTCTGGGCATTCGTGGGGCCCCCTGGGCAGGCTAGCGGTGTGAGCGCGTCGGAGGGTGAGACTCGAGCGAGCTCAAGGAATCTTTCATGGCTCAATTTGATGCATTTTCGCAGAGTCAGTGGGCTTGATCTGAGCAATGGAGATTAGAACGCTCTCAGGTGTCCTCGTCACCCAGCTTCATGAGGAGGAATTGGGCTGCATGGTGGAGAGTGGAAAATCTTGTGGTGATTTAAAGCGGCTCCTGGCCAGTCGGGTTGGATATTCCAGGTTTCGACAGCGACTTTTGGGTGAAGATATGGGCGAATTGCAGGATGAAATGCCTGTAAGACAGATACCTAGTGTGCAGTTGGTAATCCTCGGCTTTTCTGCACCCGAGGAAACCGTTTGGGATCAACTGCTCCTTGCCTGTCGGGAGAATCAAGCTCTTGAAGTTGCAAACTTGCTAAAGACACCACTGAATCCAGATGGGAGATGTGCACACAGGGACTCTCCACCGATTTGGCATGCAGCACAACAGGGCCACTTGGAAGTGGTGAGATTGTTGATCGAGGCTGGAGCTGACATGAATGCGAAAGACGCACAATTTTATGGGGACACAGCGTTGTTAGTTGCAGCGAGGGTGGGCTGCTTGGAAGCGGTGCGTTTGTTGGTCGAGGCTGGGGCTGACATGAATGCGGCAAACGCACGTGGGGCAACA